TTGCTATATTAGGAGTCCCCCAACTCCTTCCCCTTTGGAGTTTCAATAACCAATCTCAAGCCACCTGAGGGAGAACCAAGGCAGGGCATGGATTTGAAACAATGGGAGAAGAGAGAGATTTTGTCTCCTCTTTGGTTTAACTAGGTTCCCATAATAATTGGAGAAGAATATTGAGAATTACAGAATTTAGAACTGGAACTTCAGACACCATCTAGTCACTTCTTCCGTGGTCTAAATAAACCCTTTTCTGATCTCTGGTAAGTGTTCTGACCAAGTCTGTTTCTCTGCCAGAGCACCCCATGGTGGAGAGGTTCCTACATGTTATGGGGCCAACCTCTTCCAACATTAGTATCATTGTAGGTTACACAGTGGAGAGGTTAAAAGCAAGGTCCTGCAGGAAGATGTCCTGCACTTGAACCCTGGTCTCTGCTATAGGCCCTGGAGTTCCCTTCCCCACTGTTTCCCATCCTGGTGTACTTCCAGCAAGGGGAGTTGCAAGGGCTGCCTGTGGATTGTTTCAATGGGTTTTCTGTCCTTCAGCTTCCATCTGGGTTTGATCAGTAGGGAAACCCGGAGGGCGAAGAACAGGAGGGAACTGGGATTATGGTACTTGCAGGTTCCCTTCCACTGGGTTGCTTTGGTCATAAAGGTCTCAGCTCATGTTATATAAGATTTCTGCATACAGGACCCTCTCTGAGTTCCTATAATTCCCTTCAGGTCCAGGCTGGGTACTGGGGCTCACTGTTAACAAATCAGGAAATCTGCCCTATCCTTTAGGGTTTCCCCACATCTTTTTCATATTCTTCTAAATGGTCACTTTATTACATTTATCACAATTGAATAGACCATCTTTTCTTATCTGGGATCCTGATTGATAAACCACTATTTGTGTGGCCTTGATCAAATTTCTTAATCTCCCTTGGCCTCAGTTTTCTCCTCTGTAAACTGGGATAATAAGTTTGTTTTCTGAAGGTCACTCTAAGAGTCAAACAGGATGAAGTATAGAAGGTTCATTGTACACATAGGGATATTCAGTGAATGTTATGGTAATACTACAAATCCACAAAGTTGCTTAAACACTACTTTAGCTCTATAGAACTTCCTCCTCCTCCTCTCTTCCTACCCCCTACTCCCACCCCTTTCTTCTTCTACTTCTTCAGAGATTGAATTCAGAGGTGCTTAACCACTGGGCCACATCCTCAGCCCTTTTTATGGTTTATTTTGAGACAGGGTCTCAACACTAAATTGCTTGGGGCTTCACTAACTTGCTGAGGGTGGCTTTGATCTTATGATCTTCCTGCCTCAGCCTCCCAAGCCGCTGGGATTACAGGCATGCACCATCCCTTAGAACTTTTAACTTGGGTTGGGTGTTAAGTCAACAATCAATAAGACAAAAAAGAAAAAAGTTCCCTAAGGTCAAATTCATTTTTAAAATCCTATCAGATTATAGTATATTGACTTTTTGGTATTCAGTCCTGTGGAGTAGTTCTAATTCAAGCTGATGTTTGAGAACCAGTGAGCTAGATTTAGGTAAATCTGCGTGCAAATGTCAGAACACCTTACCTCTTCCGCTTTTGCCATAAGTGTTCCTAGAGGAGACTAAGAGAGGCTAGAAAGCTCAAAAGCACAAAGGTGGCCGCTTACTGTTGTCACATCCACTTACTGCTCCTGGGAGGATTGGAAGGAGACAGCGGGGTCATACTTCAGGTAGGAAAGCTAGTGGCTAGATAAGTGGTAGATAAGTTGGGTGCATGCTGCAGTGCCCACGTGTCCAGGGTGGCCTTCATTGAGCACTCATGTCATGCCCGGCAATATATTAGCTAAACATTTCCCATGTTATTCTGTTAAATCCTCATGACAACAATTATTGTCTTCTCCAGTTTCAAAACGAGGAAGCTGAGAATCTGAAATGCCCAGACTAATGTGACACAGAGTCTAATCCATGGCAGGGGGTGATTTAAGGCAGGTCTGTCTAACCCAGAGCTGAGTCTTACCCAGCGGCTTACACTTCATGTTCCGTGGGCACATAAGAAGAAAGGTCTGTGTTTTTATAGCTTTGCATATTAGTTGTCTAGAATAACACACAAGTGTTGGACTGGAAAGATTTTAACAGCTTGTATATGAAGACAAGAGGTTCAGCTTGGTAGCATATCTTTCTAAGTTTTCTCTTTTCAGAGGCTAAATACCAACTTGCTCCAAAAAAAATTTTTTTTTTTGAGTCCTATTTCTGGACTCTTCTCCAACTTACTGAAGTGCTTCTAGTCTAACCATTCCTGACTTTAGCTTCATCATAGAATTGATCACCTGGGGATATTTTAAAAAACACCCAAGCCAGAATCCCTCCAATGGTGTAGAAATCTCTAGCAGGAGGCCTTAGCCTTGTTACATATCCAAAAACTCTCAGAATATTTTAATGGGCAGCCAGTTTTGGAAATCACTGCTCTAGTCTGCGTTAAAAATGAGCTGGTGTGAACGATGGCAGGAGCCCCCTGGGACCAAGAAAGAATTTCTTCTTAGCCAGAGTTGTTTGTGGCGTAGTCCATATGATTTAATAAACCAGGTCCCCCAGGGCAGCTGAATGCAAATGTCTCTTCCATGCAGGAGGTGATTGCAGGGTTCCCAAACACTGTCATTTATAGAGAAGGTGGCAAGCTGAAATTTCTACTCCCATCTATATCTGAATTTCCTCAAACATGGAAAATGTAATTGAGTGGGTTTCAAAGGGATGTTTTAAAAATTGAAAACAGCTCCAACTTCTTCCTTTTCTGTCCTTTTCCTTACCGGGGGTTTATGTGGCCTTAGGAGCCTTGCTGTGGGCAGGGAGTACTCATGAATGGCATGGCTCTGCCCTTTGCTGATGCAGATACTGAAGGATTACACCGAGCGGCTCACTCAGCCTCAATTTAAAGGGGTGCTGGCCACAGAGCAGTGCTGCAGGGGTCATTAATATCTAGGCCTCCTGGGAGAGATCCTCAGGGCTTTGTTCTCCAGCTGCCACCTCAGCAGAAAGGGAAGGAAAATCCCTAAATGGTGAAGGGAGAATGACAGGTTGTACACGTGACAACTTCAGATACAAAGTCACACATCTATAGGATTTATGGGAAGGCAACTGTCAAGCATAATAACCAAGGTGCAAGAAGCCCTTTTCATTTACAAATTATTTTTAAGAAACACCATTGACTAAACAATACCTAAATTCTTTGGGAGAGAAAAGTACCAAAAATAAAATGCTCAAGGATAAAGGATAAAGACGTGGTTAAAGCACTCTTTTCCCCCCTTGAAAGACAAAGCAGAGTTTGAAGAATTCTGAAAAGTCCGAGACAGAAAGAAAAGAGACCCGAGGGGAGGAAAGATGGAGAAAGATTTTTGGACCCAGATTATGGGAAGGGAGATGAAGAAAAGAGGTACATAGAGAGATATATTTATTTTTAACTTCTGTAAAGCTTCTCCCCCCACTTGCCTATTCATCCTTGGATGTTTTGCCCAAGAAAATGATTCTCCAAGGACCCTTAGAGTTCACTGATCATTTTTTTTTTTTGACGTTTTACTGGGCGCCAGGTTCTAGTTTAAAGAGATTTTCCTGTCGCCTACATTTCATTTAGTTAGTTCTCCTGCTCACTGCTAGGCTGGGGATGATCTTCCTATTTTGCAGAAAGGCAGAAGTGAGATCAAGGAATTTTTCCCAGATTACTGGGGGAAGATGAAGATTACTGGGAGATGGTGAAGAACTCAAGCTCTCAGATACCAGCGCCTGACAGTTAACCACCAAACCGTAGTGCGGGGACCCTGTCTTCCCAAACTCCATCTCCCAGGGCCCGCTCTGCAAGTTTCCACGTGGTCCTCGGCAGTCCATTTTATAATCGGTTCAGCACAATGGGGCACCCAGGAGTGCCTCCTCCCGGCAAGAAGATTAAAAGCGACGGGTGCAGAGGACTGCCACCAGGGCGGTAGAGTTTTGAGGTCCCAAGCGACAGGCTTACGCCGCTCACATCTTGCAACGCGTTTACACGTTGCAAATCTCTTTTTCACAGTCTGTTTAATTCTCACCGCGGCCCTGCAAAAGGGGTTATTTTGAATCCCATTGTCCAGCTGAGGAAATTGAGCCTTTGCCTTCCCGCCGGTCACGGGGTCCGCAGGTGGCAGAGCTGTAGACATGTGCTGTGTCCCCGTCCCAGAGATAATAAAAGCTGCGCGGGTCTCCTCATTATTATGCAAAGCTGGCCAGGAGGCTTGGACCCTCCCTTGAGCGAGCCCATCTGTCTCTGCGAACCTCCCCCGGGCTCAGAAGCCGACTGAGTGCAGAGTCGAGGGGGTGGAGGCACGTCCCCAGCAACTAGCCACGACAATCTCTCCGCGCCTTTCTAGCCTGCGCCCCCGAGGCCGACCTCTTTCGGTTAAAACAAACAAACAAACAACAACAAAAACCCTACAGCTTTCCCTTCACCCCGCCCTTCGCCCCCGGGGAGCTGCATTAATATTAATCTTGATGAATAATTAAAGCCCAGAGATTTATGCGGGCCCCAGCCGGGGAAGGCGCGAAGCGGGGCAGTGTTTCGGTCGCGCAGCGTGCGTGTTTGGGCAGTTGGAGTTGTGTGAGGCTCCTTTCCGCAGACGTGGGAGCATAAGGTGGGGTGTGCTCGCCGGTGGCGGGTGATTTGGGGTTGAGCGTGAGCTGGAAAGAAATGTATCAAGGAGTGAGGGTGAGCGTCGAGGCTGCTCCAGAGATTGGGGACGGAGGGGCATCCCGGGTCTCTGTGCTGCCGCCTGCGCTTCGCCCAGCTTGGGGTGACTTGGGGCCACGAGGACTTGAGGGGAAACAATAGCTACTCCTTAGATTCTGGGCTCCTGCCACGGGCTGCCCAAGCCTTCCGGATGACCGGCGGGCTTCTTTTCTTATTTGGCTAATTTATGGCGAGAGGCTAAGGGGCGGGATGGCAGAGGAGGGACCGCGTCTCGAGATGGGGGCTGGGGGTGGCGGTTAAAGGAGTCGCTCGAGGCTGCGGCGCGGTGATGTCAGCTCTCGACGAAAATAGAGAGGGATCGCCTGTAAATCCTCAGCTCCGGCGGGGCTAAACCTTGCAATCCCTCCCCGGCAGGCGCCGAGCCAGGGCGCAGAGGCCTCCACCACCTCCCCCGGCGCGCACACACCAGCACACGCGCGCACGCACGCACACACTCCCCCGCACAGACATTCACTGTCCTCCTCCCTGCCACCACTCTCGGTGCCCGCCACTCGGCAAGCCAGCCTGCCCCGCAGCAAAGCACAGGTGGTAGCGGCGGCGGCGGGGGCGCAGCGTTGTTGCGCGCGCTCCTGTAGCCCCCGGGACAGCGCTGTCTTTGGGAAACCATTCTCGGAACCCTCCAAACCCCCCAGCGCCCAGCCAAGCGCTACTGTAACCTGCGGCGGGGAGCGCGGGACGCGCGCAGTGGAGAGCTAGGACGTGGATTAGCGCCCGCAGGAACCTCCGGCGCGCGTTGAGGCGCTAAAGGGCTTACCCAGGAGGGGGGTGGAAGGGCGGAGAGAGGCTCCCCCTTAAATACCGCTCCCCCGCACACACGCGCTCACCCCAGCGCCCGCTCGCTCCCTCGCTAGCTGCTGCCGGACTGTGCTGAAGAGGAGGGGGCGTTCCCCAGACCATGGCATCCACTGAAGGGTGAGAGGGCCTTTCTCTATCCTGGAAGGGAAGTGGGAGCCGCTCGCGGGGTGATGCCCCCCTATCAGGGTTGGGGACAGAGAGATATCAGCGCCGGGCCTCTGAGATGGTGGCTGAGCCGTGGCTTGGCTGTAGGTGGGATGATGGGGAGGGGGTTGATTTTCTTTCGTGGAGCTTGCTGCTTAGCGCTTTGAGGAAGCCGGGGACAGAGGGTTGTTTTAATTAAAAGGGATAAGATATGATGGAGGTGTGAAAAAGTAAGAAGAAAAAAATCTCTTGGGGTTACTTTTGAGATTTAAAAACAATGAGTGGTCGGCCGCGGTGTGAGCAGACACTGGCTGGACAGGCAGCGGACGAAAGCCACTGGGGAGCGCGACGGGGGCTGGAAGGTGGGGACCAGCCGGAATGAATGAGCCTGGACTGGGACCAGGGCGGAGCGAGGATCAGCGCGCGCGGCCTTGAACTCCAGATTTGCAGTCTCGGCGGAGGTGCTGGGACCCCTCGGATCACTCCTTGTCTCTGGATACCGGAATCTCCCTGGCCAGCTCTAAGGAAGAGTGGAAAGATTTGGGTGATTCCCGGGGAAGGCGGGAAAACCTGTGGTTTGGGGCAGAGCAGGAGTCCCCAGACTCTCTCCGAATCAATGTTGGTTTTTCTATTCTGCCTGCAGCCCTGGAGTCTCCCTTGTCTCCTGAGGCTACATGTGCCTGGAGGAAGCTTCCAGTGATAAATAAGGGCAGTTGTCTTTCCTGTGAGAGAGATGGGGCTGCAAGGGACAGAAGGGCCTGTTAACTACACGTCAAAGGAAGGGTCTTGAATCTTTATCTCCCAGGAAACTTTTGAGGTTTGCTGGAGTCCAAGTGGGAATAAAAAGACTAGTTGGGGAACTCAGCCCTTGGATTAATTAAAAAAAAAAAATGGTACCAGCCACTTGCAAGAGATCACTGATTCCATATTTTGTAAAAAGAAAATATCAGGGGCTCCTTTGGACCCAAGTGGAAAAGACTTTGGTGCTGGTCCTTTTCAGAGTTTCTGTAATAAATCTAACCAACTTGGCAATCTCATTTTGGGCAATGGATCTCTAAGCAGAAGTGAAAAGCTGGTGTCCAAAGACAGATCTCTAGACTCCAATGAAGAGAAAATATTTCTAAAACTGTCAGTCGGTGTCCAGGGGAAGGAATTCACCCTTTTTCTGTCCTTTGGAGTTCTTCCAAAGGGGTCTGGCATCTTGCATGGCATGACATTTTTTCTGTTTCTTTTTTATCTAAAGGTTTAACAGCATGGATGACTTCTTCTCCTTCTCCTCCTCCTTCTCCTCCTCTCCTCCTCCTTCTCATTATTATTATCGTTGTCATCATCATCATCATTATTATTTTGCTAAAAAGAAGCTTGGAAAGACACCTGTGTACAAGAAGGGTGGATCTTGTGCTAAAATATATTTCTAGAATTAAATATTAAGAGCCTGTATCATTCAACATCAGTGCCTCCCCATGTTTAATTTAAAAGGTTTTCATATTAGAAAAGCTGTGAAGGCATTTCTGGCTGCCTCCAGGGGCCCTCTAGACTTACCCCTGCTTCTAAAGGTCAGGTTGGAAAATACCTGGGATGATATTGGTAGTAGGTGGGTGATGGTAGTCTTCTGAATCCTGCTCTCTTCTAGTTTTGATGGCCAGATAGAAGAGATAGAGGTCAAGATAACATCAAAACTCCCCAAACTAAGGGTGATTATCTCACCTATGTCTTAAATGAGAGCTGCCAAATGATTGTTTAATTAAATATAGAGCAGAAGAGATTTTTAGCCTTAAAAAATGATATACAACAAATGTTATCTTTATGTGTTGTGTGTATTTAAGAAAAGATTGGCTAAAGGTACTTGTGAGAAATGAAAGAATTGAAAAAAAAAATCGGAAAGGCTAGGAAACAAATGTAGAAAGATCTATGATCCATTGTTATTTAAGAGCAGTAACTGATGGGCAAGAGACATTCTCAAAGTCCTTCTGCTTTATTCTAGGAGCATTTCCTGAGTCCTTCATGTTAGAACATACACCCTGGGATCTCTGGGAGTGGGGGAGGGGGACACAGACATAAACAGACTGAGAGCTGGCTTATAGAAGGTTGGTTCCAGCAGAGAACTTTCAGTACTAAATTGTTCATGAGGAGTGATGCAATTCTTTCCTCCTCCTGATACATTTGGTTAATGCATTTGTAAAGGAAAATTCAGAAAGAATCCCTGGGCTGGTCTTCTTTGTTGGATTTTGCCCTCTAACATTATTAAAGCTATTTCCTTGAAACACACATTGCTGAGAAGGATGCGAAAATAGCGATATAATTATACGCTTTCAATGTATGTATTTTCAGTTCAACTCTAACCCGGAATGCCTGGGGAATGGGGCAATATGGTAAGCTGACGTTTCTGGTTAACGCTTAGGCGTTGATGTGGTTGCCATCAACAACATATGTTGATTACTAAATTTTAAAGACTTATTAGAACCAGTGACATCTAATATTTATCACTCCACTTTCAAAGATCATTCATGTACATCATCAGGTTTGATTCTTCTAATAACTCTATGAAGTAGGTAGTCCAAAGAAAATAGAATAAAACTATATGGAACATAATGCCATCTTTCCAGGAAGATTCTAGGATGTGGCAGAGCTTTGGAGTTATCCTCTGGAATATTATCTTCAAATGTTTTCCTTAAGGAGGATGTAGGCATGGCTGTGCTAATTATTGGCTTTCTATCAAATCTTTGGCATGTATGTCCTGTGAGTTGTCTTTTAGAATATTCTTTTTACAACTTGCACTTGTCTTTTGGGGAACATCCTCACCACTGTCTGATTATTCAAGTTTTCTGATTATTTGGAGTTGAGATTTATTTATTTATTTATTTATTTATTTATTTTTAGCATCTAGTGTCTATAAAAACTAACAGTGACTCTTTGGACTCTTTGATGGCACTAAGAAGTGTTTTCATACATAGCATGGTCTAATTTGATAGTTTAACGTTTTTGTTTGTTTTTGTTTTCTTTTCTCCCTGAGTCCCCTGTCATGGTTAGAATTATTGAGATGGCTTTTAGGTCCCTGACCCAAATTGCAAAGAGATTACAAGTAGTTGGTGGCAGACAGGCTCAAGTCCTTTATTGCCTGGGTCACAGTGGAGTGTTCAGATGCTGAAGAGAGAGGCATTTTAGAAATACATTCTTCGGAGTGGGGGACAGCTAGGTCACTACATATATCAGAGACTCAACTCGATCTGTCTTCTGATCAGCTCCCAGGAGCCAAGGGGTCAGGGCGAAAGACAGTCTCGAGGGCTTGGGTTTCAGTTTGACTCAGAGAGCAAGTGAAACAGAAAACTGCTGATAGCAAAGACCCTGGTGGAGGAGACCCCTGAATTTATTATTTGAAGCAAAAGAAAACAAAATGTAACAGTTGCTTTCTCCCTTTTTCCCTGGGGAATGAAGTTGAGGTCAGCTGGGGGAAGAGCCCATGGAGTGGGCTTATTTCGGGGGTGAGTAGAGGACATGGGGCTTCAGTTCTAGAGGGGTTTCCATATTGTATGCCTCAGGCTGCACTGGGATTTCATTTCTCATTTTAGAAATATAGAAATTGGTCTCCTTGGGTAAAACAGATATTAGTAGAGCTATAAGAGAGCCATTTCATGTTTACCAAGACAGTCTCTTGTGAGCAATCGAAAGCTTAATTCTCAAGAAATAATTTCTAAATCCAAATGAAACTTGCAAAGTGTAAAACACCAGGTTATTAAAAACCCAAACACATGTCTGCACATTCATATCAATGGTTGCTTCTTTTCCTCTTTTATGCAACACAAATAGATGTCTTCCTTTTGGCTTTAGCTTTGAGGGATGTGTAAGACAAGGAGAAGTCCTCCAGAGATGACACTTTGGCTGCAAAAATAAGCAACATTTAACAGCTAAGTGTGAGATTTCTGGGTCAGTATGCCATAAATCCTACAGTTCCAGAATTGCAAATCTCTTTCACAGTCTGAAGCTCAACACAGGTTGATTTCAATGAAAATTCCCTTCTGACATTTCCCTCATGGCTGTACCCACACAATGCCCACATGTCTGTTTGCCTCCTTTTACAGGAAAACTAAATTGTTCTCCATATCGAATTTTCTTCCCCAATGGACTGGCTTGCCTCTCAGAATGAACCAAATCTCCTCTTTATTTCAGTCACCTGCTATAATTATTTTAATCTAATAAAGCACTAATAATTTAAAATCCTCTAGCAATCGTAGACATCATTCTCAAGGTAAAATTTTAGTTTTGTTTGCATTTTAAGAACTTGTCCTCACAGTCTGGAAAAATAATTAACAAAAGCCAGACATCATCTTCCTTGCAATTTTTTGCTTTCATGCCCTTAACAGCTTGTTGGGGGCAGACAGGATGCTTCATAGAAAGGGTTTTAGAATCCAGATTATGGCAAATCTCTTTATTTACCAGGATTGTAAGCTTGCTCTCCCCTCCCTCTGTCTGCCCCTCACCCTGCAATACTCCAAACGCCAAGTCCTTGGGTTGAATTAATTAATTTAAAAATATTAATTAATTCATAATTTAAAAATATCTCATTGCTCCATCTCCATGTGCCCCATCATTGATTGGAGGCAGATGGCTGCATATTCACTAGTAGAATAGAAAAGAACTGGCATTGCATTATAAACCTGTCTGTTTGACTTTTAAGTAATGGCAGAAAAGACAATGGATCAACAGTATTAATGGAGAACGGAAGGGTAGACATTTAGTCTTTTAAAGAGAAGAACTCGTTTTCTTAATGCTTTCTCTGTATGTGTGTGTGGGGGGGTGCGTTTTCAAGGTGTTTTTCAACAATGTTGATATTTACTCATTTTTTCTTTCATTTATTTACTTAATGTCTCACTTGGATGGGCAGCTGTGACTGCTGCCTGCTGATCCACTGTCTGGTGTCTCGGTAACCTTGCCAGCTGCTGTGGATTATAGACTTGTTGAGCAAGAACTGTCCTTCGAAAATGGAAGGAAGGAAATAAATGCCATGTTGGCAGATAGACTTGATCTGTGTCAATATGGTTCCTGTCTAGGATGGATGATGGCAAATGTTAAAGACCTTGAATGAAGTCCATGGGGACAGAGATGGAGACGTTGTCCCCATACTCCACTGTATATTACGGACTTCATTTAAATTGTGGAGAGTGCTCTCTTCTGTTACATTTGGCCAGGAGGGCCATCTGTCACTGGCTGTTTGCAATTTGGCATTTCCATCAGGTGCTCCTGCTACTCCTAATTCTCAGCCACTGTGCTCTTGGGATCCCATTGCTGGCCACAAAGTCGGAAGGGGAGGGGCTGAGACCTGTCTGTCACCTCAAGCTTTGCTCTGTGAACAACATTGATGTTGAGCTCCTGTGGACTTTATGTGGCCCACAGGAACATTCTTTTTTTTTTTTTAATTTAAATTAAATCGAATTTAATTTTTTTTTTTTTGGCTTTCAGAAGATTTTGAAGATGTTCAAATTATTTACTAACTTAAAAATATTTCACCTAAAAAGAAATTCTGATTCTAGATTTTCTTAAAAATTGGGACAATTGATGACCAAGAACCTGCCTTTTTGTCTTAGTACCATTTATTGAGTAATTACACAGCCCAGGATCTTTAAAAGTACACTGCATGCATTAATTTATTTAGTCCCAGCAACAGTGCGAAACAGTAAGTGCTATTATTAGTCCCATTTACAGGAATAGAAACTAAGGCACAGACTGATTAAGTAGCTTACCCAAGATTTCACAGCCAGTGAGTAGCAAAGCCTGGCCTTTAACTCTGGATGCTGACTGCTGGGGTTATGCTTCTAACCACTGGCTGTGCCTTTTAGTTCCATCGGGGCAGCATGTAGCTGAGGCTAAGGAGTGGCTGTGTCCGGAGGCAGGGCACACACTTTCCAGGTTGAGCACTGTCATTGGGACCATTCCAGTTGTGTTATTTATTTAACCCACTATTTCTCCAAGGCAGATGTTCTGAGAGCTTGGATTCCATGCTTAGGGTATGCCACTGCCTGGTGGTTTTAAATTGAAGACTTATTCAAAACCCCATTTCTATGTAATGAAAGGTAATTCATTGCAACTGTTTCTTTGTATCCTTGTAATCACTTCTTGTTGTTTCCTTTATCTTTGCTGTGGGTTGTTCTTAATAGAGAGTTCTTTCATAATTATTGATTGCCAGGAAGATAATAGCATTGTCTCATCTTGATGTGTGTGTTTTTAAACAGGCCAGGGCCTGACCGCATGGGCCAGTCTTTGGAATATTGACTTGTGGGTATGTGTTCTTGGTGGCAAGTGTGCTGGGAGTACAGCCGCCCCTGGAACTTATACTTTTACAGTCTTCAAGTGCAGTTCTTTAGGGTTGTGATTTAACTTACCCATCCTTCTGAAACAGCTACTGACCCTGTCCTTCTGGGAGTTGGGCTGATATTGTTTGTTTTGTAACAGA